AACGGTGAGATCCGCTAGGTGGATGCCACCCTGTCACACCATGGCATCGTCAAATTCGCCCACGTGATCAACTCCTTTGACAGGCACGAGTATGCTCTCATATGCGTGAACCCCAGTGTCATCTCCCGGGATGAGCCGCCGACGTGCCTGCTCACGCCCATCGCTCACATACTGGAGAAGGAACGCCTCGAGGCCGAAGCGGCCGAAGCGCTCCCCAAGAAGCCCGCTATCCCCACCAAGGTGTTGGAGTTCACGTGGGCGATTTCGGTGAACGACCTCGCGCATAAGATGAAGAAGATGGGGGAGTTTTTGCGGAAGGGGAATCGGGTTGAGGTTATTATTGGTGTGAGGAAAGGGGCGACGAAGGTTAGTGCTGACCAGGCCAAGGGAGTTGTTGCGAAGGTTAGGGAAATTGGGACGGAGTTTGGGAGAGAGTGGAAGGAGGTGAAAGGGGCACTGGGGAAGCAGTTTACATTGTTTTTTGAGGGGAAGGCACCGGTTAAACCCAAGGAAGAGGAGGAGGGGGAGAAGGTTGGAAGGAAGAAGAAAAAGAGGAAGTTTATGACACCGGAAGAGCTAAAGGCAGAGGCGGCGGAGGCGGAGGCTAAGGGGAAAACAACAACCGGGGAGAGTAGTGAGGTGCGTGTGATATGATAGTAGTGAATACCTGTACATAACTGGTTACGGGCGCAATGTCCAGTAGTCCAAAAGTCTCCTTTTATTCTATACCCTTGAACTCCTTCTGTAAACTAGTACAGTGGGAACACAACCCCGCATTGATAAAATCGAATACAAATATCAGAAAGAGGACTCCACAATCGGAAGCAACGAACCCCCACCACTAATTACATAATCCCAGGCATCCCACCGCACTTTTAGTGCAGCCTACCTGTAAGCGCGTCCACCCACCAAGTCACTTTAACTCAACTCAACGCGTTCCCCTCCCTTCCTCTCAACAACAACCCCATCACCGACCAACCTAACACAACAAAAACCCCCCGCCCCCCCTAAAAAAGAGAAAAATGACCGAACAAACCCCCCGCATAAACGCCCCCCTCCTACACCAATTCATCGGGAGAACCATCCGCCTTGTGGGTAAAGTCACGGACATCCACGGCGACAAAGCAACGCTGGATTCTAGCGGGGTTATCATTGCACGTTTAGACCGGGTACCCCCCCATCCTCCTCCCCCGTTGATGAATGGAGGGCTAATGACGGGAGGATTACTAGGATTCGAATCTGAAGCTTGGGAATGCGACGGAGGTGGTGGCGAAAGTGAATCCGGACCTCTCGGTTAAGGTGCTCACGTCGACAGATTTTGGGGATAATCTTGGTAGGTGTTCTCTTTTCTTCTCCTTTGGGGGTGGAGAGAGGGGCTAATGTGGAGGGGGGTAGATATGAAGGTTTACGAGGAGTTGGTCGGGATATGTCAGCAGCATAGGGAGATTTTTTATGATAGTTAGAGGTGGGGTTGGATATCCCTTTTTCCTTCTTGCGATTCCTTCTACTGTACGGTTTATTGTCTGCTTGGCTTGCTTCTTTGTTTGTTTGCTTGCTGGGGCTAGAAGGATGGAACTCAGTGACTAGTAGTGATCACTTACTGCTTGGCCGTTCGGATGCGTGGGCATTGTTGCAAGAAAATATATAAAGTTTGGTTTCATGATGGCTTGTTTTATCTATACGCTCACGGTATGATGTTGGAGGCCTAGAGTGGAAGAGGGGATAGTGCTCGCGGCATCATGGAGTGGCAGTGCTATAGTGTGAGCTCTATTAAACGATTCCACCCCCGAGTAGGAAGCAGCTGCGAGATGTACGGAATGAAGATCAAACTGGTATCGTATGAAGAGTATACGACACATGTCCGTGAAATGAAGAAGGATCGTATAGCAGTCCCCGGTCAACCTCGAGGAGGAAAAATGCGAGACTGCGGATACAATACATCAAGATTATCCAGAAGCACCCCGGACTACACCCCATACATCTTATCCCGTTCAGAAATACCCGCCCCACAAACCTCACATCACCACATGCAGCAACACCAACACTTCCAGCTTCTTGAGGGCCGTCATCCATTTTCACTGGAGTTCCATTATATAATACATTAATGTACAGTACGTACAGAGCCGTGGATCATGAGTTGATCAAGTGCCCTCAACGCACAGTACCGGTAGTGAAGGGGGGGTAGAGGCTTCATATTTCCCTTATGATATTTATAGAGATTTTATTTAGCCCGTATGGAATTTCTTTATTTTGATATTGTGGTTTGGTCCTTTTTATCGTTAACGTTGTGTTAAGCTACCCAGAGGGCAAGGGAGACTTGGGGGGGGGGGCGGGTAGGTAGGCTCGATGCATATTTACGCCATACACCACTGTCACGAGAAAGTAGAGGTTGAAGATCAGCACACAAGCTCATCCAGAGAAGTGAATTACTCCTGGCCCAGTAGGGCATTTCGCACTCTAACCCACGCAAGAAATCCGATCCCAGCTAGCATTGACCACTTGAGGCTGCCTTATATATAGATGAGCAATTGGATAGGAGGATCTGTCTGTCTGTCCGTGTCGATTTTCATCCCTCCATAATACGGTATATCATACCAGGTTTCAGGATTTATATCGACTGTACCGCAAAAACACAGCACTTGATTCACTACGCGGAGATTCCCTGGGCGGGCCCTCGGATCAAAGGGGATATCGTTTTACCTCCCCATCGAAAAGATGGAAACGATTAGATGAGAAGGTGAAGGTTCCTTTTTCTTAGGGTTAATAAACCATGATATTGTAGACTTTAGCACGGACAAGTGGTGATATCGTACGTAGCCATCCCAACGGGGACCATTTGGTTTCGAATATTGTCCACGGAATGGTAACGACATTGAATACCGTAGATATATCACCCCTGATATGATAGCCGTACATACGCTTGACGAAATATACTTCCCGGGAAGTATATATGAGTCGAACGAGCGATGGGAGAGATAAAAATCAAAAATCAAAAATAAAATCACTTTATCATAACACTCAAAAAAAGGCTATAGAAATTTTTCAGAATAAAAAAAACTCTCAAGGGAGAAGTAAATGTACGAGTGTGGGTCGCTTTAGATATATATAATATTATTATATTACAAGTTATATAATTGATGACCTCAATCTTTCACTCAAAAAAAAAAAAAAAAAAAAAAAACACTCCACAAAACCAGGTTATCATACCCAACGAACCCGCCATCCATCCCCCCAACACGACGGACAAGATTCGCTCACCGCTGTGACGGGATCACCTCACTTGATGTCGCACTGCGATGGATGGGATGGGATGGGGGGGGGATGGAGGAAGTTAGAG